TTTTGTGTGAAAGCAATGATAACGACACAATTTATTATTGCCATATGATATAAAAATTCATATGATTAGGTTATGATAAAGCAAGCAATGCCTTTTGCCTTGATAGAAAAAAAGAAAAGAAAATTTCATTCCATTATATTCCGATTATTTGCATTGTGAATTGATTTCCCTCAAGCTGTGAGAGTGTGCCCATTTTTGACTGTGACATTCGTCACGTCAAATCGTACCTTTTAAAATTACATTACTTTCTGGAATTTCCATTTCTCACTACATTTACCATTTAATAGAATAAAGAATTTATTGTGACATGGTGAAATTCTGACTTATATTAATAGAAACAACAATTACAGCAAAATTTTCAAGGTGATTGAAACAAAAAATAAAATAAAAATACAGCTTACGAATACGGAATCACTAATATTGCTACTTTTTTTGTATTTATCATTACTGACAGCGGTAATGATAAAATTTTAATTTGCCATTTTGTTAAGGATAGTGAACGCATGATAATTAGTAACAAATTAGTAAAATTTAATTACCCCGTGTTCATTATTTTTAAAATGTTCAGTTTGAAATCACTCAAAAAATAATTTATTTCTGATGTGATCTAGTCCTTTATTATTAAAAGTTTAATTCACTGCCAAAAAAGAATCTTTTCACAGAGTTTTCATATTGTGGCCTGCAACAGTTTAGCATGATATTTGATGCTTACAAAACCTGACATTTTTGTAATAACAAAACATTTTTTTTTTTAAATCTGTAAATACTTAAAATTCAATATTGTTTCATCATGTTTTCATTTCAATCTCAACTAATCTTATAACAAAAGTTACATCGACAGCAGTGTAATGTTGATTAGATCAAAGAAATTAACAATGTTTATAGCAGTCTTAATTGAAGTTTTGCTCTATTCTTATAGCTTTTGTGCGTAATGCAATAATGCAATTGGAAAAAACATTAATATTGATTAGATAAGTAATATTAGCAACAGTTGTAATATTAGAAATTATGGGGAGAAAAAGGTAAATTTATTTGGAGGAGAAGAAAATCCTATTAATGTTTTACATTTGCCATGTTGTGCTTAAATACTGCAATCTGACCAGTTTGATATTAACAATCAATTTTAAAAATGGTAACTACAGTTAAAAAAAGTGAAATAAATCTTTTTAAATATATTCACAAAATTTAGAGATATTAATGTTTCATAAATTTTCCTCTTTACTTTAGTTTTCATTGAATATAATAATAAATATCTGATAATCTGCCATTGCTCTTGCTTTCATACTGTCAATAGCAATTAAATTTGTCATTCAGTAAATTCATTTACTATTTATTTGATCTGTTATATAATCCATCAATATAATCATGTGTACTTATAGCAGCATTAATTTACACAACCTGAAATTTAAATCTTCCAAAAGCGCTTCAAACATGATGACATTCACTTTTTTAGATAAAACTGATTTCAAACTTTTAGAATGAAATTCGTGCACTGCAACTTTCTTTCATACAAAATTATTGTTAGCAATATCTTCGTTTCTCTTCGTTTCTTTTGGTTAGGGTTCACTTTTATTTTATTTATTACAAAATTTTGATTGTGCAAAAATATTCTCGCTCTACTTTAGATTTTTGCAATGCGTATTAACTGGTTCCCTACATTCTGAACTCCATTAAAGTACTAGATTTAGAAATAGAACAAATGTAATAAGTAAAGGATCTTTAACGCAACATAGTGTATTTCAGATTTAAAAAATTTTTTTTACTAATTTATTAAATATCAAAGTGCAGTTCATGGCGAGAGTGGTCAAAAAATCATATTTAATTTTTCAGCTGCTAATTAATCTTGTCGTTTTTATTAAAACATTCTGAAAGATTTTGGTCTGAAAGTTCTTTCAAAATTTTTAAGTTTTATTAACATTAAGTTATTATAAATCCTACTCAATGATATTTTGGTAATTTTCACAAAAATTATTGTGAATACTAATTGATTTGTTAATTGCTGTTACATTTAGTGAGCTATTTTTGATTACCTATCATATGCAGTTTGATGAGATGTATCAAGAGCAAAATAGACTTTTAGTCAAAAAACCACAGTCATTTAATAGAATGAAATGGCTATTTAGTGTTTCAGTGCAAGAAACAAATTAAATTGGTATAATTTCAAGATCTAAAAAGTATTAAGGATAGCTGGGATTAATTTTTAACGAAAACATCCATAGCTACCACTTTCAGTTTCCGCCAGGTTAATCTAACAAATTATTAACTAAGCTATTAAATAACTCATCGACTAATCGATTGTATCGCTTTAAACTTTCATTTTACGAACGGGTTAATATATATATAGTGTACCGAAACCAGCAGAACTGAGTACCACGCAAGCATAACGAGAATGATGGAACAGGCAAAGGTCAAGAAGACAGAAAAGAAGATTTACCTTTACTAGATCAGTATAAATGATCACGTCGGGGCATATATTTAATCGATAGTGCCAAAAAAGACGCTCGAAAGCATTTTATTCGATGATCGCTATGAATTTCACGAGGATGATGCAAAAGATACCAGTACAGCAAATCTGAACGCGGGACGAGTATAGCCAGTGTCTCCGAATACGATCCAGCGCAAAAGAACACTGACCTCCATATATATGTACTTATAAGGGTGACATGTAGTTTTCAAGTTTTAATAACAAAAAGCTCTGTTCCATCATTGATGTGATTTTGTATTCAGATTGAAGTTCCTTTGTAAAATGTATTTAATTCCATAAGTTACATATTCTTCTTGCAAATTATATTCTGCTAGGAATCATTTCAGTGATTCGTTTATTTCACAAGTATGTACATAAACTGGCTATTAACAATAATTGTAAGCAGATGCAAATTGGTAACGAAAGCAACTGGATTTTTTCAGTAGATAGATCTATTTTGCTCATAACAAGCAAATGATATGATAATGTCCGATGTTTTTGGGTTTAATGTTTCGAATTTCATTTTTTGTTTGGCACTGAAACTGTATTTGCTTCAAAATTTTATCAATTTTTCTTCATTTTACATCCTCAGAAATCAAGAATAAGATAAATTCGAGAAATATCCGGTAGAACTTCAGTCATTCAGTTTTATTTATTCTTTTTCACTTTTATCATGTGATTTTGGAAATTTTCAGTAAAGTAATACCGAAATATTTCAGAAACTGACCAGTGCTTTTTCAATTAATAGCTATGTAACATTCCGAGACATAGCATAAAACAGCTAATATTAAATGTCAACTAAATGAAAACCTCGTTAGAAAGGAAGAGAGAAGGAGAGACTAGTGAGAAGCAAATTACCATATATTTTTCCCTGTCTCGATAGCCACTTCGTAAAGCCACGCCCCATTTAGTTGCGAATTAGCAGAGTCGGCAATTCATTGGAACAGACACAACTTTGTGGGGAAGAAATCATTTTTACGTTCGGAAAGACGAAGTATGAATTTAATTAGGCAAGAAAAAAAGTAAATTAAACTTTTTTTACTTTTTCATCGTGCGTTAAACTAAGTGGCAAATGAAAACAAGTGCTTCAGTATTTTCTGCTTTTGCATGAAAAAGTATTACTCGTAAAATATATAATCCCTGTAAGTTTGTGACCTCCATTATTTTTGCAATTATTCACAGAATTTGTTAAGTACTTGTGTTTTACGTGATCAGACGTTTAATTAATTTTCGAGCAAAACTAATTGTTGAAAAAGATTCTCTAATAATATTTTATAATCTTTCCAATAGTTAAAATAATCTGATTATACTTGTAATTAAGAAAAATAATTCAAACTTTTTCACTTCCGAATTACAAAAATGTTTGTTTCGTTGTGATCATTATGTTCGTTAAATTTTTGCTGAAAAGTTTTTTTAGTCTTGTTGAAATTTTAAATAGCGTTTGAAAAAGTAATACTCGGTTAACAGTCTTTTTGAATTATTATTTTTTTGTCAAATTTATAATGTTTCATTTTTGATACTATCAAAATTTTATGTCTCATATTTCCAGAATTTTTATTTGGAACTTAAAACTGTTTAACAATTTTACATTTTTTGTTTAAAAAACAATCCTAAATTTTGTTTTATCTGAATCAACAAGTATCAAAAGGGTAAAATGAAATAATCTGGAATTTTTCATTCATTTATTTATCTCGGACCAACAAGCAAAAAGTTGGCGTAAATTTTTCATTTGAATATTAAAAATCTTTTTTTGGGACTAAAATTTATCAGCTTCATTTTCTTCAATTACGATTTCAAAATCATATATGCTTTCGAAAAAGAAATTCATAATATTTTTCAAGTATAAAGAATCCTGTTTGATTAGAAATATAAAATTACGAAAGGCTTCGAAAAAGTATGATTGTCTCATTTGAAAAATGATTACCCAGACTGCGTAAGAAGCACTTGATGAAATTTTTTTTGAAAAAAATAATTGGCCAACGGAATCAAGAAAATGAATAAAATTTAAAATTGTGAAGCTTCCTTGAAAAGCATTCAATTTATTAAGCATTCGAAAGGTTTCTTCATTTACGTTCGTAGCTATTTTATTCCATGCATATGAAATGTATATTACATTAGGGAAATGAAAATATTGTGCAACTTTTTACATCTCAAAAACCATTTATTTATTTATTTATTCATTCCTTTAATATCAATCGTTGAACACTTGCTAATGTTTGTTTTGATTAGCACTTTATTTATCTTTGTGTTTGCATCTGACAATTTCAACTTGCAATTATTTTCTGCAATTTTCTGTTCAAATTCAGTGTGTAAATGAATGACTGATCGCCGTTACTAAGAAAGGCTGGAAATTATCTAAAATTCAACAAAAATAAATTCTAATAATACGTTTCTGTTTGGATAATTTTATAATCTTTGATCCAAATAATTCATATTTCTTCATGTTATGACTTTAACAAGCGCCATTATTTTTGCATTCCTATTTGCCTCTCAACAGCTCCAAATTTTTAGGCTACGTTATCAGCGTGTCAGTCCAATGAATACCTTCTTTTCGAATGCAAGTAATTCCGCTCTATCAAGTGCCACTATGGTAAAAGCTATTTCTATTTTTTTCATTTATAAAAACAAAGCGTTTTTAATACTTTAACAGTTGACTGTTATGTCATCAATTATAATTTCATCTTCAAAAAGTACTACCTCTTTTTCTTACTTATCTTTTTCATAATTTTTATTAGCTTCTAAAGTTTAGAACTCGTCACCTTCATCTGTGTCTGTCTCAGCGTCAGCAGTACGAGTTCGTCGTCGTAAATCAACATCTCCTTCTAGTCCTGAAAACAAGCAGTCCGAAGAACATTGTGAGGCTAAGCGTTTCCGAAGTACTAGTAATCAAGATCAAGGCAATGCAACAAATACTTCAAAAAATAACGCCTATAGTATAATTAGGCTCCTTGAAAAGAAGGAGCTAAGCAGCAGTCGAGCCAGGTTTAGTATCTTATCAGAACACTAGATAGCAACTGTGTCATGGTTCTATTAACCAAACAGCGATGTAATTTTCATTAAGTTATGACCAGCAAGTTATTGCAATATCAATTTTATTAAAGTGATAAAAGCGGATCATGAAAATCAAAAATTTGTAAAACAAGAATAAGTTACTCAATTGAAACCCTAGCATTTGTAGTAGCTCAACAGCAAGTGATGATGATAATGCACCAACTAGTCGCTGCCAATCAACAGATGATGATGAAGGCAACAGGTTAGTATTTGAGCAAATTAAATCATTTAAGAACAAATGTACGTGGAACACTTAGCATGCAGAAAAAATAACAACACAATATCAACAGTTAACACAAAAACTTATGCATTTCGCTTTTCATTTTTTAATAAGAAATAGATATTTTTTCACTTCATTTCTTTGTCAAATAAAATCTACTTGCCTTAAGAAAGCCTAAATATTGAGGTTTACGGAATTGGCAGAACTTGGACGTGCTGTCACGTGGCCACATTTTTTTGCAGCTGGACCATCAGCTTTTGCAGTCCCACACGCAGTTGCATCACTAAGGGACTCCAGTACAATTGCAAATGCGGTAGCAGCAGCTGCTGCTGTAACTGCAGCAGGTCAGGACTTATCTCAGGTCCAACAACTTCAGGTAGTTCTAAATATTAGTTTTGTAAAGCAATACAATATAAATTAAAAATTGGAACGTTTTTAGACTCCACTATTTTAGCATTGTCCTTATTCAACTTGTGCGAAAAAGTTTTAAATACTAGGTATAAAAATAATGGTAATCAAAGAATAATTGCACTGTTTACAATACAACTTCACTTCAAAAATTTAAAAAAAAGTATTTTATAAGTAGTGAAAACTTGAACTTTCTAAAATCAAATCAGTGATTTCAGAACGCATACTTATCATATATTTTGGGCACATCAATGACAGCCACTTCTACACCTCCTGTCGTACCACAACATCATCCTATGCGCCTAATGGTAACAGCGTCTGATAATAGTTCGTTTTTGAAATTTAATCCAATCTATATTTTCAATCTAATAAGATCCATCCCATTCATTCTGACAAGCTAATTTATTTTGTTGTAAAAAATCCAAAATAATTCAAGAAATGGCATATAATAAAGGTTATCCAAATAAAAATTTCAAGCTTGTTCAAGCTAAAATCTTTGATTAACGCAAACTAAATTTCATATGCCAAAAAGTTCATTTTATAAACCAGTAATTTCTGTAATTATAAACTGTTAAAAAAGTTCTTTTTTGTGAAGTAATATTTTCCAATATTTAAAATCTAGAAACCATAAATTTGCTAAAAGTATATATTTTCTTGTCGTTTTAGAAATTCTTAAGATTATTTTAATGATAAATAAGGAGAATTAATGAGATGAAGTATGAAAGAGAAGGAATGAGTGGCAGATGTTACTAATTGGGTGATTAAGACGAGCATATGTAAGATCACGTTATGAATATGTTAATTTGATGGATTTGCATGTTGATTTTTCATGACTACAGCTCTACATCATTAAAAAAATCATTAAAAATTAATTTTCGTTAAATGATCTGCCTGAATAGAGTTTCAAAAATTTTTTCTAGTTTTCTCATCACACATTTGATGATATTATGCTAATTACTCGAAGACCACCAAAATGGAATTCACTTTTAATGAAATAGATTCATTCCAAAAGCGATTTCTAAAGTATGCACAGGCTATTGCAATCGTTCTAAATTGATGCATGAAATGTTTGCAGACTCATTTGAAATTATTAAGGTTTGGCTATAGCCTATATCTAGCAAGGCATTTTTTGAAATAATAAAAACTATCCCTTGCGGTAATCGCAAAAGGTTTTATATCATTGAAACTTTAAAAAAAAATCTTTATTATTCAATGAAATAAGTTGCGAAAAGAACTGATTTGAAAGTGAAATTACTTTTCTTAATTTTTTGAAACATTTGTAGCATGTTACTGCTTACTTTATATATTTATATTTTTTCCTTAATTTTTATACAGAGAATCAAAACTTTCTTCTTTACTTTTTGCAAGTTTAAATGAAATCTTCAGAATCAATTGTTTTTTTTTTCCTGAAAAAATGAAACTGGAAGCATTTTTGCTTGATATTGAACGTAAAATATGTTTCCTGTGCTAAAAATTTAGGCGATGTACCAAATAAATCGCGTTTCGTTATTTCTGCGAATCAGTTTTAGTTTTAACAAACACAGCAATAAATGGAATTATGTTTTGCTTCTTGATTTGTAACTTTTAAAAGTCTGTCACATCATACCAGATCGTTGATTGTAGCAAAAGATTTCTATCAGATCTAAAAAAATTTGATACTTTATATGAATCAACACGAATTTTTGGTTCTCTTTCATGATTTTACTGATAAAATTTATATATGACAAATATTTGCATATTTCTTCCACAACTCACCTTATTCATTGACTTCTTTCATCGATATCTTTTATCGCTTTTGATTAATAATTTAGTTTTTGAAGAATTTAATGCAGCTATCAAAGTTACAGAACTTTACCTATACCTAATTTCATCCATGTTCATCATATTCCTTACTTATTGCTCCAATAGAAATTCGAAGGTCTGTTTCTCACGGACAACATTTTTTTGAAACCTTACATATTTTGTTGACTTAACGAAGAAGAAAAAATATTAACAATATTATGTATTTTAATTCAAAAATTTCCCTTACTTGCTTTTTTAAATAAATGTTTCTTTTCCAAACTGCCTTTGATAATACCACTTACAAGCAATGATTATGCTCAAGTGCGCTTCAATTCTTCTACTTCTCTAATATTCTTCACTTTTTTGTGCTTCAACGCTGTTATGTTTGATTCTTTTACAGCATTCTGTTTGTAAGTGTTTGCAAGTAACCACCAAAAATATTATTGTTGAATTAGAAGAAGAAAGATAGTAGCAATTTTGTTGAATTCATGGTACAGTTTCATATCTTTCATTTGAATAACTGCTCTTCCTTTTTTGTGATCGTTTCTTGCAAGAAAAAAGTATGAGAAAAGTCTAAAATTTGATTCCGAATATAAAAATTTGCTTAATATTGCATTGAATTTCATGCAGAGTAATATTTTAACATCAGTTATAGGTTGCAAAAGTTGTAAAACATTGCTATTTATAAATGGTAGCATGTTTTAAATTGCCTGCTAAATCTGGTAAATATAGATAACAGTATCACAAAGCAATAACTGACAAAGGGGAACTTCAGAGACTACGTTTACTTCTTACTCACTAATTAATTTCTATTTATGACACATTTTAGAAACTGAGTGATAGAAAAGACTCAGAGTTCATTTTTGAAAAAAATGAGAGAAATTTCCATATAAATCTATATATTTTTTTAACAAATGAATAAAACTTAAATTAACCTATAGAAGATACTATTATTAAAAAGCAATTAATTTCGTTAATAGCTTAACTTTGGCCGTTTTTACTGTTTTTAGTATATTAAATATAAAAACATTTTTCATTGAAAGAAAAATTTTATAACGTTTTTAACAAACTAATAATGATAATTAAAAATTGATCATTGTGCTTGCGCATGTAATGGTAATTTACTTTCTCTAAAAACGAAGGTGCTAATTTGTCGAGCTATTCTCATCAAATATGTTAATGAATAAAAATAAAACTCTTCAACATCGATATTTTGTAATTAAACCTTTCAAAACTCTATTATATTCATATATAATTCTTCTTTGTGTTTGGGAATAGAATTAGGAAGCAAAAAAGTCTGTTTTTGTCATTTTATCTACGAAAAATATTTTATGATTTTTTTTACTTAATTTCTAGTTTGTAATTTTTTGTTGTCATTATTTAGCAAAAAAAAAAAAAGCAATTAACTGCAAATAGCTGAAACTATGACTGCAATCGGTAAAATAAATTTATTGTAGAAAAAATAATCATATATTTCTTTAAATATAAATTACACTGATTTTATCGATGAAAAAAAATTTTTCCTCTTAATAAATACAAAAAATATACAAGTAAATAAGTAAATATATATATTTAATTGCAGACAAAGACTACTTTCGTTTCATATCAAAAAAGGTTAATCCAGTTTAATAGAAGTTAGATAAACCTAATTTTCTTCTTTACAATAGTAAGTTAGCTTTGTTCAATTTGGTATTGTCAGCAGAGGTTTACTTTTTCATTATATTTAACTTTTTTTTCAAGTTTTTGACTTTTTTTTGTTTTTATTTAAAATGATTTCCTTTAAAATCGGCATTTGATTTAAAGAGCTTAGCGTATTAAAATAAAAATAAAACAAACTCTACTACTTAATGTAATTGTTAACACTATCACCAAGAAGTCAAAAATCAAACAATAAAAAATTTTCAAAACAAATCCAGAAAGCAAAATATTTGATTCTTAAAAAGCATTAATCAACATCAGTTTTTCAGATTGAGTGCGTAAATAATAGAATAAAATAACATTTTTTCAAAATGGTCTTAAAATTGTTTGCTGGGAGATGTTTTATACTTATCAGACATTTTGTTAAATCAATTTGAAAATATTTCCGTTCTGGCAAAAGGTAACAATTATAATAATATCTAAAAAACGCAAGCTGAAATTCATGCAGTACCAACTCCAGTTTTAATCTATTTTACTAAAGGTTAATAAAACATTGCATACTTTGGATACAGTACTCTTAAATGCTGTTTTTAGTTGATTTGATTGTTAAAAAACTCAAATTCACGTCACTTAATTTTGTATTTTTAAAAATATTTTATTCAAAACATGTCTGCTGTAATTTAATAACAATAATATATCGATAGTGACGCAAATAAATGTTGCAATTACTCTATTGCGATCAATTTAATTTAATTTCAGTTCAATGTTCCTTTAATTTTCGGTGATTGTAGTCATTAATTTAGGAATTCAGTAGTAGAGCTAATAATGAAAGAGGTATACTGTATTATTTTTCAGTGAGCTTTGCTCAGTTTCCAATAATTTTTTCATTACTTAAAGTCAAGTCAAAAATTTTATAAAAAATGTACAATATATGATAAAATAAAATATATGAAATAATTTTGTGCAAATATTTCATTGATTCAAAGGCGACTGTTTTTTAACTTATTGGTGTTGCTCCTTTTTGTTGATTGAGAAAAAAATTACACGGACAGCAATATTAGCGCTAATTTGTATTTTTCCTCTGCCTGTGTTGGGTAGCTAACAAGCTTTTTTAGCTAAGTGAACAGGAATGAGGTGTATCATTATTATTACAAAAGTACAGAAAACACAAATCAAATGCGATGTTGCGTTTTTAAGAAAGGCAAAAAGCGCAACAAATAACTTTACTGCACCTTTCCAATCATCCATCTTTGTTGATTGTGCAAAGTGAAAAGTTTGCGGGCTGCTATTCGCTTGCAGCTTTGAAGTTCTCCAAAGAAGTTTTCCTCATATGATGATGACGAAAGGAAATTATTGGTTACAAATTGGCAACATTTGTACGTACCACTTTACATTCTATTCCTCTATAATCCATTACTTTATTAATTTAATTTAATTTAATTTAAATTAATTTAATTAATTTATTAATTTATTCATTCATCTATCCATACATATAACCTTCTTCCCTTCCTTCTTCTCTATTCTTTTCCCTTAATAATAATGATATCACATTCATGCATATTTACTAATATTATTCTTTCTTTTCTTATAATAATTATTCGCAGTAGAGAAAGAAATATTGCTTGGCAGCAATTACTTGTAAAATGCCCATTGAAATGAATGCTATAACTGATCAAAAACAGGCCCAAGTTGAAACAAACGGAATATACTGATTACTACTCATCATTAACAAACGAATAATAATGCAATTAACATAAATTCATTTCCATTCATTTCAAAAGTCTGAAATGAATGGATTTGCAAATCCAAATGTTGAATGCACATTTATTGCTATCATTTGTTTTTTATGCCACAAATTTCATTCCTTGACTGTAGTATATTAGACTTGCAGAAGTTTATTGAAAAATAAATCGAAAATTTGCATTTTGTTCCCAGAAAAAAAGATTATGTTGTGAAGCGATTCGCTTATCTAAATAGTTGAATAAATTATTTTTTAACTATCTTACTTCAATAAATAAATAATAAAGATTTAATTCTTGGTCCAATACACAAATATTTTGAAGAGAATAACAAGTAACAAGAAACTGATTCACCCTCTGCCATATTTAGGAAAATCTTAGCATTATTTCAACAGTAAACAAATTTTCAAACATTAGTAAATAAACTTTTTTTCCTTTTTTTGCGCATTTTTGTAAAAAAGAGCAACTGTATTATATTATTTTTAATTTAATATCTGTGATGGCTCCGAAAAATATGCAATTTCGATAATCCTGGAAAGTTTTCGAAATTTTAGAGTTCATGTAGAATGTCCTTTTCAAAGATTTCTTCTCAGTTTGTATTTTATTCAGTTTATTCAAACATTTCACACTTAACATTCCTAAAAATTTAGTTCCAGGAAATGACTTATGATGATTTTAGCTGGTAGAAATGGTCCTTTTGGCTTTTTCCAACTCCCAGTAACATCAACTTCCACTGCAGCTGACGTTGTTCGCTTGCCAGCAACTTCCATTCAGAACCCGCTGTGTTTGTCACCAAATTCACTTTCACTGAATAAGAAACAATCGAGACCGACATTTACCGGACATCAAGTTAGCCATTTCGTTCTAAAATCACAAGTGTAAAAGTTTTTAAATCATTTCTACTCATGCATAACAATTAAATACACGAAATAAAAAACGGCAATATCTTCAAAATTAAGAAGCATGGAGTGACCTGTCAATTTTTTCTTGAAGCATCACTTTGCGGTTTTAGAAAATGAAATCAAGCATTTAACGTTTATTTTGCTTTTCTTATATTTCAACTTTCATTTAGCTTTTTAACTAGAATTTTGATATTCTTCAAAATATTTTAAATTTGACAATCACCATGAAAGAAGTTTTTCTAGTGATTATCACATTTTTTTTGTCTCTCGTTTCCTTTGAAACTCTATTCGTTTACTTTACTTATTAAAAATACTGCCAAATATTCTAAATATATATTTCTTTTTTATCGAAAAGTTAAGGAGGACCTCACAAATATTCTAAATTTTTAAGATATTTATGTTGGAGAAGAAATTTGAGCAAACAAAGTATTTAGCTGGATCAGATCGAGCCCAACTTGCTCAAGAACTGAGTATGAGCGAAAGTCAAGTAAAAGTTAGTTGCTTTTTTATGATATTTAAATTCAAGTAGTTTACAAAGTGCATTTGATGGACTACTCATCTATTTCTGTTATGCTTCAAATTATGCTAAACATTTTTATTTTTTGAGCATAATTTTTATTCCGTTTCCAACTTTTATTTTCAGTGTTATTAAACTTTGTTAACTTAACAGAATATTTGGCAGATTAAACAAATGCAAATTAAGCATAACTTATTCATCCCTTCTGTCAACTGTTGCTTGAAAGAAAGATTTGTAAAAAGGATAATAAAATACATCCTTGCATGGCAAAACAGATGCTTGCATAAATTATCATCATTTGCCGGAAGACATCAATGAATAAGATTGATCACTTACAATATTACCTCTCAATTAAACCTTTACAATTTTATTACATTAATCTTTCGTTTGACGGCATATGAATCAACAAGGCGAGAACATCGCTTAAGGCAAATTAATCATATAAATTGAAGAAATAATCACTTTAGTAAATAATAATAATATTATAACCAATAATTAAGATCAGCAGTAATGAAGCTTTTTAATGACATTATAATAATACTAATACTTATAATTATAAATGTAATAATAATTGTTATAATTATAATCTATAGTTATATCAATAATAATTATTATACCAATATTAATACCAATAATTAGTGATATGTGCCATTATCACCACTTTTGCTTGTCATCAGTCTCTGCAACAATATCTAGAAGTACAAATTTCTTTCAAATACTTCATTCAAAAAGTTACATGGCATGATATTTAGCAAGTATTCAAAAATTTTATTTGATTTAGTTTTTTCAAATATTTATCATTCTATTTTCCTCGAATTTGATGGATAATTGAAATGCAGCAACTTTGCATTGATGAATTTCAAATGCAGTCATTTGCATTTTAATAATAAATGAGAAAAATATGAATGAATAGATGATTATCATTTTTAATTTCGGACAATTCAGTAGATGACTAACTGCCAAAATGAGATTTTTAAATAATAACAATAATGCCATAATAGTAGTATAGTACTAGTTTTTGTTGATTGGTGAAACGGAGAAGAGTGGAAAAATTTATCTTTACAATTTACTTCTAATTCGATTCAAATTCAATCGAGAATTTGATCATAATTCGCTATTACAATTATTCATCATTTCAATCAAATCATTGTAATCGTCTTCTTCCCCGTTAATGTTTACCTATCAAATCTTGCATACGTTGATTCCTGATGAATGCAATGAAAAGGTAAAAAGACATACCGACAACTCTTGCTTCTTTTCTTCCCGTTATAGATGATTGTCATGTGTATATTTTATTGCAACATTTAGAAAAGTGTAGCAAAATAACGCGATAATTGTATTAGCTTAAGATATTTGAGGGAAATTACTAATATATAATGAGCAAATACATACTTTTGGCTTTGAAAAATAGCTGTAAATTATGCAAAGTATTTACTTAATAGAATTTCTTATAAATATGTTAATTTCAGTATTTGAAGAAATTTGTGATCTTAAATGATAAATCTATGACTAAATCAGTTTTCTTATATTTTCAGTGTTTGAAACTATTGACAGCAATCGAAACTTAATTCGCTGAAATAAGGTATTTACAGTTAGGTTTCCCTCCAGTAGAAATCAATCTCCAGAAGAAATCAATCAAGAAAAAAAAAATTAAATTAAGGGTTAAACGAACATTATTGTGAGCAAAGCAGAAAATAATCTGAAAAATTAAATTTTGAACTGACTGAAATAAAGAAGTTTATATCAGAGAACAATCATTGGCACCATAACAAAGCTCAAAGAAAAAAAAAGTGTACTCACATTTTCCCAGTTTTTCATTTTTTAATACTGTATTGCCTATCATTAAATTTGCAACAAAATTTGCAGCCGAGTTCACATGCCTTACTTTCATTGCAAATTGTAAATATTTGAGTTGCTATTATTCAGTGAAATCTAGAAGAACATTTAATTTTTTAATAATTAAAGGCTTAAACACACTTTTTCAAAATTAAACTTCAAAAGCGTGACTTGTTTTTTTATTTTACTGATTATGCATGAAAATCTAACTTGGAATACTGGTTATTTACCTTCATAAAAACAAGGTTTTACTTGCTTGTATACTAATTAACTTCTACAAAAACTACATGATTCATATTGATTCATTTGCTATCTGTTCTGAGATTTGAATTTGCTAAATGATTTCATTCTCATATGAACAGCCGTCATTAACTTGATATTTTATTTAATGTATGACATGACTAGTTTTGACTGGTTCCAAATTGGAATAGTTCTGTATTAGCTTCTTCAAAAATTTGTGCATGTTTTTTTGATAAGCTATTTTATCTTCATTAAATAAATGCTATCAGATTTTGAAGACGATTTACTTAAAATTGACGTCTAATATTATTTGCGTTATATAGTTTGCAAGCAGTGAAATTTAGGAAAGCAGCTATAAGCTTTAGAAGTTCACAAAGTTCTATATCTGAAAAAAAAATACTTGTGTAAAATAGATTTTAAACAATACGACTTCAAATAGAAAAATGAAAAATTTTTTTTCATTTGTCAATTTTTACAATAAAGCTTTGGCTACAATTTTCTCGTCGTTCTAAAGTAGTAAGAAATTATGAACTGTTAAATTTTTTCTCATGCTTCAATATTTTGTTAGTAGTTTTAGTTCCGTAGCAAATTCGTAGCAAAGCTCCCAAAGGAACAAAAACGAAATGTGGAGAAAGGAATTAATTATAGCAAATAATCTTTAAATGCTTGAGATGTAAATTATTAGATTTGGTAGGAAGTTTCTGTTCATTTCAAGTCTCATGGGTAAAATTTCACTTCATGTTTTCATGACTTTCCATTAGAAAGTCATGAAATTTCTTGTGATATTGCACCTAAATTTTAAAAATCAATGCAAGAAACAACTTTTGGGGATAGAAAAGTGATTTTAGAACTACTGAACAACAAATAAATAGGAAAAATAGCACGAATAATCATAACTACTCATAAGATCTTTCGTTTCAGTGCTCAATTTTTTTCTATCGTTTGCATATTAATCACTATTCATTTAAGGGGAAGTTATGCTACGTACGAAAATTTTCTTTTCAAAATGTTTTTTCAGTTATTACATATAAAATGTATTCTTATTGAAAAACACTGAGGGAATGTTTTCTTCAGCTGATTAACGAAAATGATAAAATAGCACTATCCTTTGAAAATATGCATATTCAGCGAGGAAGCAACATAAATTTCCTAACATTTAAATTGTAACTTTAAGTTGTAAAACTTTTTATTGCAGGAAAAACCCCAAAAAAATAGTACAGACAAAAACTCTTCTTCAATTTTTTTCAATCATTTAAATGCTTAATATTATGTTGCAAAAAGAAACCATGCTTATTATTGTTACACTGAAGGCATGCCGTTTGACTAATATGAATGACCATTGCAGCTTTCAGGTTTGGTTTCAGAATCGACGCACAAAGTGGCGGAAGAAAGAAGCAGCAGACAATGCTTTAGTAAAACGTGGTGAAACGCACGAACCTAGTACGGGACGCACCCAGCAATTACGTGGTTTAACATCGTTTTTGTCATCGTCGAACTGAACCCTACAATCGTTATTCTACTGGGTAATTAGCAATGTAGTACAGAATAATCTCTTTATGCTTTCAAAGGTCAAGAAGAAATAGTTAAAGAACCAAAAATCTGGTTCAAATGATTTAAAGACTTTTATAATATCTAGAAGTCAGGATAATGCAAGCTGATAACGCAAATGAAATTTAATAAAGCTACTTCATTTTTCATTTCAGTGTTGAATTTTTTGCTTGCTATAATGCATCATCTGACTTGAAAGGAGTATTTTAGAGAAAATCTAGTTAATAACTGAAGACTTAATAATCATTGATTAAAATATTACAAATATTGCTCTACTATTATGGCATGATGTCCCGATCTCGACAAAAGAAATCATTTTACGTATTTACATCATACTTTTTTTGTTTCGACCAACTATTTGATCAATTTTACTGACAAGCTAGCATGACCTTACTTTTATTGCATACATGTTTTTTATGACTGTTTTGCGCAATGTCTTTTGCTTTCGTATATATTCAAAGCATTATAATTTGAATCAAAGTATAATGACTAGTATCACCACTTCATTTTGCTTTATTTTTTTGTATTTGTTTGAACTTTCAAGGCTATTATATGTTCAACTCCAAGTATACAAATAATATGTTCATCAATATACAAAATAAGTTTTTCAGCTTCAACCGCTCAAGAGCTTAAAATTTTTGTTTTTGTTGTTTTTCTTATGTTTTGATTGTTCTCTCGAAATTGGAATTCACAAGTTAATAAATATTTGTTGTTTAAATTCTTATTTTTTGTTGATTCAAAATGTGTTTTAACAAAAAGCAGTTTTACCTTTATACGATTAATATATGTAACTGTTTTAAAAATTGATGATTTCTAACTCTGGAACTCAACTTTTACAAGATCATCGCAGAAGTAGCCAGATATTTATTGTCAATTGTCTATTCTGTTAGAATATAATTCTACTTTTTGGTGAATTGTGTCTCAAAATTGTTGGAGATTCATGTGCAATTATCAGAGCTATACAAAAATTTCATTTTTTTGATATATTTATTACAGGTACTTCCTCATTCATATCAAATATGCCAATAGAAACTTGATAAATGTGCTAGCTAATGAACAGTTTCAATAATTTTATGATAGAAGCTTACAGTCAGGCAGCTACAAAAGTTTTTGAAATAATAGAATTCTTTTTCTATAGTCTTGTTAAATAGTTTAAATTTTCCTAATTATAATTAAAACATTGAAAATGCTTGAAGTTATGGAAGTGTCCAAATTTATTGCAAGTGAAGAATGCATTACTACAGTTGAATTTTGAAGAAGAAATGATAGCTCAAACAAATGCCTTACATGGCATGCTACTAAAAAACTTTTCTTATTAACATTCTAATGAAAGAAATAATTGAAATGACTTTTTGAATGAAAAAACTGCAAAATAATTAAAAAAAAAAAACTAACTAATCCAATTTTCTGTTTCACTATAAAATCTCACAAATGAGTCTGTCGACCTGTTTGGAAAGTTCCTGAAATGTTTTGATATCTAGTGCTGGAGTTTTTTGTATCTTATTTGTGTTCGTATGATCCAGAACATCTCTAACTTTTTCATTAATTTGTAGGTTTTAGTCGATCAATGCACTAATTTGGTTGTAGGTCAAGAGAAATGTCAAAATATGCCTTATGACCGAAACGCATACCAATCGAGTAGAGATGCATTGAGTTTAGTCACATTCCAAACTCAACTTTTAATAGTCAATCATTTTTTGATTTTGTCTTACCTACCTTATTAACAATATGTAATAGATTGATTACAAATTATTTAGTCGGATTTAAAGGATAAAATTTGCATTAAAATAAAAAATTTTGATTTTCATCTTAAAGATCTGTTTGTCATCATATCAAAACTTAGCTTTGAGATTATACGTTGCTCACCAACAACTCTAAACAAGCAAGGTTTGCTGAATATTTATACTATTATTGCGCGTATAAATAACCGATGGATGCTTACCATCGCTTATTTATACGTGTATCATTCATGCATTTAATAAACTGAGGAAGACTAAGGATGGCATTTTCATTGGAATACCTCAGAATAATTATATTTAATGATTTTTACTTGAAACTTCTAAAATTTCTGCCTTGAAATTAGAAAAATATGCAGAAATGAGACGGTCAATCAAATATAGTTGATGAGAGTTGAAGAAAAATCACATGAACTTTAAGGTATATCCAATTATAGAAATATAAGACGAATTTTCGTAGTGTTCATTTCCAATACTGAATCTCTGGAAGACGAAAAATAAAGATGAATAAAGCAGTGAACATTTCTTGCAAATTGGATGCTGTAATCCATGCGACTCACCATTTTTACATTTTTTTAATGTTTCAGAGAGAGCCGGAAGCAAAACTCTCATGTCATTCTTCATTCAGTATTTTTGAAAGAGAAACAGATTAATGAAGTAGTGAAAAAAAATTATTTGATCTGGATAATTTCATCGAGATCATGAAAACGTTTGCATTCTTTGAAGCATCTTTAATCACGTTATGAAAAAAACATTGGTGCTTCGCAAAGAATGCATCTATTTCCGCAGTGGGTAAATGTCAACTGAGGACGGATAAATTTCACTGTCAGTTGACAACAAGAAATCATTTAAAAGTACTTGTGTAATTGAGATCAATTTGAGTAATTAACAATGTTTTGGAGATGTGAACACTCATTTTTTAATTTGTGAACATTCATTCATTCATTCATCGCTAACTATTCCTTCATATATAGTCAATATTTGTGGGCATCAATCACATGACAAATAGTATCTTTTTTTCCCTTCTTTCTTTAACAAAATTCCAACATTTATCCGTTAGGTTGATAACGCATGTGCCTCCCTTTTCGTTTTCCTTCCTACAAAATATTGATTTGTCCCTTTCAGTTTCCTTTTTTTTCCAATACTTGTCACCATTTTCTCTCCTTCTCATTAAAAGCTTTTTAAACTATTCTTTCTCAATTCAAATTTGAAATATTTCTGCATTGCTAAGCGATAATTACTTCAAATTCAGTTATAAATTAAATGTGAGATTGATATAAGCACAGCAATGACTTAGAACTGGAGGTAGTTGCAATGAAATTAGTTTTGATAATTGCTTTATTTGTTCACATTGGAAATTTTTTAATTTCTACTGTTTTTTGATTTTAGAATGTCAGAACTTTCAAACTATAGAAACTTTTACATCGATGTAAATGGTCATGATGTTTAAAAAGTGGCAACTTAGTTCCAAACCACAAACCTCGAAAATTAATAACGTCACTCCATTTAATAGCTCTAAAAATCTGGTCAAAAATTCACTTTCGTATTACAATTGTTTAATTTTTTTTCGGATGTAAAATCAGAGTATGGCTGCTTTTGAAGAAGTACCATTCATTTCTGTCATCGGTGACCTGTAACAAAATATAATGGGCAATTTGATTGCATTGAATCCCTCTGTTCCAATTATACTTCCATAAAACATGATTTTCTGGCAAATGTTACTTTTGCCGTTTCATTCAGTTTCATTCTCAGCTTCAAGAAGAGGTAGAACTTTCTCGTCACCTAATAAATACTGCCAAGTATGGCTGTTATTTGAGCGATTTGAATTACTTTTGCAAATGCGAAAAATGAAAATTTTCAGTACAAAAAATTATATGCAAAATTATGCGTCGTTGAAACATTGTTGAACAATATAAACTTTAAAATAAATTCAAATTCTTAGCAAATGCAGATGTAGTTCAATCTTTTAATTGCTAGCATATAAAAACTGGCAGTTTTTTTAGAAATATTTTAGAAGAGTGTCATCTTGAATGGAAAGCATCATACCATGCAAATGAACGCCTAGAGCTAATAATGATAAATGAAACATGGGTGGATACGTTGGGTCGTTGCGTTCTAAGCTCATCAAATCGTCAAAATTACATTTTTCGTTTTGATCTGTAAGCATGCTTTGAAAATATTTCAGTTCAGCAGACCATGGAAGTCTTTAATTTTATACTCATCTATGTGATAACTAGTTACTGAGAGTTCTAACTGTATTTTGATAGAAGTTCCATCTCCATTTCTAGTTTAAGTGTTCAATCACTAGGTTAAAAATGGCATGTTTGAGTTATTAAAATAGTATTATGGTGATTGAATTTTTGCTATTTAATTGTCAATAGTAAATATTTTTAAATGTTGCAACTTTAACAAAAACCATGTAAATTTTTGTGATAGCTATTTTATTGCATAGCACATTTTGCTAAGTTCTTTGTAATTTTTAACTGACAAAATCAACAAAGAAAAATTTTCAGGAGTAGTAAAACTTGTTATCGCTGTGTGGCAATATTTAGCTTTCATCCGAATATATTGCAATATAAGCAAAGTGTGCACTTTTGGTGGTTATATTAGTCAAATTGGTTGATTGCATTTGATTAGAAATTAAACATGATTAATCACAAAATTACACAGTTTATCATCACTCATTTTTATTTTGGTCGTAAACCTACTTTTTCAACATTTGCAAACTCTATGTGCATAATCATGATTGACTCAATTGATATTGCTAGAGATATTGAAGGTAGATGCATTGACCATTATAAAGTGGACAACGATGATATCGACACTTTGTGCAAAAATGCACTCCTTGGTGATACACCGATGAAAATGCTCTTTCAAAGTAAGAATTTGACTTTTTATTTTGTAAAATTTGTGCCTAGAGATTTATATACTGTTTACAAATGTTTACTTCAGCATTTAGTACGCATTTATGTAATCCTTTTTGTTTAATTGTGATCTACATAATATTATTCATTTCAGTTGATGCAAAGCCTGAGTCGTGTCCCTTCGAACCTCCTTTAAATTTTACTTATACGATCCAAGATGGTGCTTGTTCATCGAGGATATCATCTGTAACAGCTTGTTCAGGATACGGAAAATATCGTTTTCAATATGAAGCTTGCCCGGAATTACCGAACTCTGAAATGCATGGCAGGTTGATTCAGTACCTTAAAACATGAATCAGGAAATTCACAAAACTACTCAACTTTCTAACCGACGGACGTTGTTTGTTATTTTTGCCTAGGCATAAATATGATATCAAAGCGGCAAACTTAATTTCTAAAGTTCTTTACTTCTCTTACAATTTTTAAAATTATAGTGGAGGAGTTGGAATGCATTGCACACTGGAAGACATTTGGACGCGATTTCTTTGCTGTGCGCATAAGTGATTCTTCATTTCCTGTAGGAAATACCATTTTCCGATGCATGGTACTGTTCAGAACAGCCTTCCGATCAATTGTTCTTTCAACAACAAATTGACTAAATATATAACTAGTTTCTTTGCACTATTAAAAATCTTATCTCAACCAAAACACATTTGGTTTCAGCAGGTAAGTTTTTGAAATATCAATTATCTGTCTTAGGTACAACAGACAACTATAGCTGGGGGTGGCAGCATCGGTTTTTCTGCTGATTCTAGTTGTAATGAATTAATTGACCTGACGTATGCTACTACAAAAATCGATTACACTCAAGGTGGTTAATTATTTACCAGTTCATTCTTATATTTTTATCATTTTACTTTTTTGGACAAAATTAGAAATTTCAGCTTCCATATCCCTACAGACAATCTTTTATTGTAAAAAGAATCCGAAAAAAAATGGTAATGTTTTCAGAGTTATTGGTGAAATCACAATGTCAATTTCCATCATTTCTAGTGCACGATTTCAATTCATCACATAAACGCGTATGGACATCTATAACAACCGGTTTCAAACATCATGTTGATTTTGGCCAGTTTTTCAGACACTTTTAGGCAGAGATTGCAGCAATAGTTTTTTTAGCCATTAAGACTTCAGAAATTTTCATCTCAGATTTTACTGAGCAACGTTATTATCGTTTTATTTTGTCGTATAATTAACTCGTTAATGACAAAAGACTGAATGATGATAGTAATAGCAAAAATGACAGTGCTTATCCATCATACAACTCACGATAAACAAAAAGGAGCATAAGTAATCAAACGCAAAAAAAAATGATTCCAGATATCTTGTTATTTCTGCTTCTGTCCTAATTAATAATAATTACAACTATTAATTACAATAATAATAATTTAAATAATAATAATAATAATAATTACAGTAATAAGAATAATAATTACAATAATAATAATAATTATTATTACAATAATAATAATAATAGTAATAATAATATTAATTATATTACATATACTATTATATTGCATATTAATATTAATATTAATAATAATAAATATCACTAATGATGATATTAAATACTGATAGTAAATAAACTGATATGTAAGATAGACACCACTTCTGCTTATGAATATCTTTTGTTTTTGTCTGGCAGTTAAGTGATTTAAATCAAACATTTTTTTACAATGACAACAGCAATTGTAATTTGAATAAATATTATTGATTAATGAAAATTTATTTTCTGGATTTTAACTACGAAACACAAAATTGTTGATGAAGCAAATATTACTCTTAGGTCCATTGTAAAAATAGCATCATATATTTATAATATCTATAGTTGCACTGCGATATAAAATGGTAATCAAAAAATGTATGGTATTTCTACATCATACATTTATTTTTTAACTATTATTGCAGACTATAAAACATTTTCATATTTTAATTTATTTTGGATTATCACGTATAGGTTTTAGATACGTGGATTACAATGTCAAACGGGCTAAATCATTCAGTGCTACAATGTCTAGAAGTTGAAAATTTGGGAAATGTTCATACTATTATAATATATACGAAAACGCTACAGTGCACATCTGGATATCAATGTTTTGAAGTAAGTTGTTTTTTCTGATAAAACTAGTTTAAAATCGTATGATTCAAGATTTATTATTTAAATGATTCCAGCTACAGCTACATTTATTATACGCCACTAAAAATTAAAACAGAAGGAACAAATCACTGCTAATTTATACTTTTTTCTAATTTGTATGTATTATTTTACAAAATTTTAATTTTCAGTAGATTACTATAATAAAAAAGGACGAATTTGCGGTATACATATAACCAAATGATTTAAATAGCACAGATTGCAATATCACATACTTAATAATAAATTAAGAATGCAGAGTTACATTTCAGAATTGTAAAATGATTATTCTCTATAAATTTTTACATAATTTGTAGATCAAGAGGAAACATAAAAATATTTTGGAAATTAGATATACAAGTTTGTTTAACAGTGTTCCAGTAACGTGTAATCTTCTTGATTACGAATCTATTGATACCGTAGTACTCGAAAACGCTGAGGTTTGCTTCTAACTTCGAGCGACCTGATTTACTATTAATCGAAATATATTTTCAAAATTTCCTCTTCATTTTCATGTATCAGTAAGTTTAAGGCAGCTTGTCCTTTCAAGCACAGACATTCATCTCATCCATGCCCAAATTACACAGTACAGTTTGGCTCTGTCCATGAACATCCACTAACTTCCTTTTCTGAATGCACTGACATTTCACATGGTATGTGTGCTTTGTATTTAAAAAAAATTAACTAAAATTTTATTTGCATGCTGTCAGTCAAGAAAGCTAAAAAAATATACAGAATCACGTCAATCTTCAAAAAATGTATCAGTTCTAGATTGATAAAAATGTGTAATTCATACAGGATTTGCTTATATGACGCAGCACATTATCATTATTACATAACAGAATTTCAGTAGCTATAAAAGCATCATTATGCTGTTTCACTTTCAGAAAAGTTTGTATGTTTTGGTCCCTGGATAGAGAAGGATGTGACATATGTCATTACTAAAGACTTAAGTTCTCTGGAGTTTTACTGCTACGTAAGCATTTCCGACATACGCAGTAATCTATTTTTTCTACAATAAGTGATTTTAAAAAAAAATTACAGATAAAATACTTCACGAGTATTTCAGTCATATTTTTTAATGATTATCTGAAGGTTCTATCGTGATTTATTTGTACTTGTCTGTTTTTATCAGTTTTGGAATATATCTTATGCTCACTGACATATCAGCAACCCAAATTTATATGATCAAGAAGTGACTCATATAAAATACTATTATTCCACTGTTTTTCATGAAAAGAGTAGTAAACTGAACAAAATTTTAGTTCAAAATTTTTTGCTCTATTTCGATTACTTGTTGAAATTGCATTGCTGCAGAACTAAGAACATAGTTTCAACGTGCGTAAACCCAAAGTCAGTTTCATTTGATGTTACTTTCAGCAATCAATTAAATCGTTGACATGAAGGCTGAGGCTATAGCTGAATCATGAATTCATGTTTTTGCACATCTCTCATTCCTAATCCTTAGTCATATTGATTTTTAGATCTGTTTGCGTTATTTGAATGGTACAATTTTTATTCGGTCGTATCTTCGATCGGCGTGTCACCCGCAATCTTTTGAAGGACGTGAGCCAGATCACATTTTCACCTTCATGACTTTTGGTAACAAAATATCCTCTTTTTAAGATTTTGTCAGCTCATCATTATGCTTGTTTCATTACTCCATACTTTCCTATTATAATGAAGCTACATTTCATCTCAAAGAAAAATCATAGAAGCAAATAATTATTATGATGTTTGGGGTCAGATGACAAGATGCAGTCGATGATGTATTTAGTGTCTTGATCCAAAGAACGCACCAAAAAATTTCATTCACACTGTATACAGCTAAAATTTTGTTTGAATTAAAAAATTCGCTGTTCGTGCCTTCCCACTTCGAAATTTTGCTGAGTATTTTTGGTAGGTCTGTTGATTAAAAATAACTAAAAGTTAATGGTTTTGACACTTTTATGCTATAACTCCATAATTTCAGATACTTGCTCTTTCTTAAATGGAATCGATAGAAAGAATAATATCAGTTCATTGCTAGCAATCATAATCATTGTATTATTATTAATCGTGATTCGCATATCATTCTTTTGAATAGTTGTAAATCATATTTTTGTTCGGGAATCAATCACAATGAAATTAAAATAGTTCTTAAAATAGCACAAAACCTGAATAGATTTTTTTGGCTAAAATTTAATTTTCAGTTTGCAAGAAAAAATTCGTTTCCAGTGCAAGTGCTTTATCCTATGCAATTAATCAGTAGAATGGGAAACAGATTTTGTTTAAGCACATCTGTTTGTACTTATTTCATTGTATGCAAGATTGAACAAATCCACCAAGTTTCAGCACTGTCCGAATAACATGTGAAGTGAACAGCGATTCAAATGATATTCAAAAATTCGGATTAAGTGGTGTTTTGTGTTAAAAACCAGTTAGGTAGCATTCTTTTCGAAAAATGAAACTCAGTATTTGTATGAAACCAATTTAGTGAGAATCACAAAAAAAAGATTAGTTAGAAACACAGCTGATGATATAAAGGAAAGGCGTAACCAGATAGAAAATGAGCGACATGTGGAGGCTGTTTCACTATTTAATTATTTGCATGAAAAATTAAAGAGGACTCCTCTGCATTCTGTTCGGTCCATTGAGAAAACAGTGAAATTGACGGTAAAGGAAAAAACTGTGACAAGTAATTAATTTCTGTTCGCAAATGTCTTCTAGCAAATTCTTTTCACGAATAATCAATTTTGTTAAGAAAAAATTTTTATAGAGATAAGGTCTATCGAGATTACAGAATAGAGTGATTCAAGACACAAATAAGTTCTTCAACGACTAATTATATGCATTTTGGTTATTACAAGATGGTTAATAACAGTGGAAATTAAGAAAATTTTAAGTTAATTGACTATTTGTACATTACATTTATCGTTTTCCTCTTTATATTGTTATAGTACTCAATTTTCAATTTTTATGCGTGCGCCAATTTATGTAATTGTGACAATCAGTGCATTTGTATCTACCTGACTCAGTTTTTAATTTTTGCCAAAAAATTGCATAGACGTGTGCGAAAGACCTGACGCATAATCATTTCAAGGTAACAGCAGGACTGCATTATATTTGAATCCAAATTACTGGAACCAATTCTATCAATCCAGCTCATCGGTAACTGTTAAAAAATAAGAGGCAAATGCAAAGTTGCAATTTACTGCATTTGATTTTAAGAGAACTTAGTTAAAGGAAACTCTTGAATGCATGCCATTTTGACAAATGCATACCATTTTGCGGCAATGATGGTAATGGCTGACACATTATAAAGTGCAGATGAATCAAGACTTTACTCCGTGATGGAATAAATACCTGATTACCATCGTTTTTTCTTTTCACATTGCCAACAAATTGATGATAGCTGTTGTTATGGTGTTACTCTGTTACTATTATTGTTATAATTACTGTTAGTATGTATGTGTTCATTTTTGCTTTCTATCATCTACACCTTAGAAACTATTACGTTTCAAGCATCATAACATTTAGTGATAGTTGTACAAATTAGTAAATCTTAAAAAAGACTTTAACTAAAAACTTTTTATCATAGAAAAATATTGATGAAGAATTCATGTTGAACACCAGAGCTAAAGTTCAACTTAATAGTTCCAGGAATCATAATAATCTCAGTGCAGTTTCTGCGTTACTGATTTCGCATGTTTATCCACTGCAGTTTCATGAAGTAAACTAAACTGTTATTCTCATTTTCAAAATCTAATTATCGTTTTCAGGTTTTTAGGAAGCAATTACGTAATAGCAATCAATTGAGGAAAATGCTAGGGTTGATGAACTCACCCGGTGAATCTGTTGAATTTTATGCTCAACCGACAGTTGACCAAGATAATTCCGTCATCAATGAACAGTTCCAGAGAAAGTTAACTGTTTCATATATGGATGGTGAAAATTTCCATCATTTTTTAATTTAATCCAAAAAAGATTGAAGATTGTTCATTGCCATTTATGTACTCAGTTAACATTTAGACTTGTGGAGGAAGGTTTGGTTTATCCTACATTATGCTTTCAATATTCAAGAGCCATTTCAGCAAGACTTGAAAAAAAAAAGAAAATTGCTAAGAACAATTCGCAAAGAATTTGGAATCTAATAAACTGTGTCTAATATATTTTTCATAAAAACACAATGACTGACGACGATTGAGTATTCGAGGGGAGAAGTAGGCAAGATATAAAAGGGTGACAGAGCAGTCTAGAATGATGCATCCAAGCAAGATGAAATGACTGCACAGTTAAGCACTTAACAAGTAGAAATCAAGCATAGATTGAAGATGAGAGGCAAGAAAATAAATAATGGAAGATGAAGACTAGCTCAAAATTACTAGGAATGTGGTTTAATTATTGTTCGTATTTGACTGAAGAAACATCGTATAAAAATACAGACTAGTTGGATGATAGACCGCGAATTTGTTGTGGAGTAAAATAAGTATTCAGTATTTCATACTAAAGCTTCACATGCTTGCAGATGGACGTCAGCTGATCGATGGGAAAGTTGTGGAGAGAAGAGAACCCCAAGAGATGTGGTGCAGCCTGCTCACGAAGAGTGCCGCTAGACAATTTGAAGGACAACTTGTGTATAACTCTAAGTCCTTCTGTGATGAATGTAAGTCCTTCTGTATGATTACTTATTTTATATCAGCACGTATAGCTGCATGATTTTTAAATGAGTTGCACAAGCAAGGAGAGAACATTTGAAGTTATCATCACTTCGTCTGCAATCAGTCTTACTTAATGATTTTTTCTAAACACAAGCAATCACCTCTGGCATCATATAGAGCAGGATGTATAAGTTTTAAATGTACCAAGTTGCACCAAAATAGCGAGAAATGAAATGTTTACTTACCATCCGATTTCCTCTCTATTATTTATATGTGATATGACTGCGTGTGTTTTGATATTCATTTCCTCGAACGTTTCTATTTTTTGCTGAAAGCACTGGCAGATTATCTTTGACATTTGTAATGAGTTTACAATTTTTCTACCATTGCACATTGTAGATCCGACTGCAACTGTGAGGGAAGAAATTGAAAGCAAGTTAGTTAATCCGGAAATTACAGTGAGTCCTGAATCGAGCGCTATACCAGAGGTCGAGAATTTGAACCCAGCAAATGTTTCTGTTATTGATATTTTCGATAATGAAAAAATATGCAAGCAAGATGAAAGTGAAGTGGTAGCAGAAGGGAAATCATCTGACTGAAGATTAAAAAAGATAAAGATGGAAGTGCTTTGTAATAAGCTCTTCCTGGATCAAGATATAAGTCATATCTCTTATTCTACTATTACTTCAGCCTTCTCATAAGTTTTTAACGGTAGATTTAATTTTTAAAACATCATATCTTATTTTTGGTCGTTATAATAGTTTCTGGTTTTTTTTTCTTTTTTCAATTTCCAGCGCATCATCTTTAATGACACGGAAAAGAATAGCACACCAATTACAGATTTTGATTTGGTATTTGTCCATTTTTCAAATAGTTCGTTTCACTATTATTTGTTTCCATCATTTTTTGATGAGGTATAAAAGAAAGACACAAGGATATGTGATAACATCAGTTTCATAAGCGCATGGTACGTAGTCTTAATCGTAAAATGCTAGAAACGGTTAAGTGAGCAATGAGATACTGTCAACAAGTATTAACGTTGTTCAGTTAATTTGCTTGCAGAATTGGTGAGAAATTATGTTGGAAACAAACAAAATGAAGTTCAGATTTATGAATTTATCCTAAAAGGTCCAGAAATTTATGGACCTCATTATTTCTGTTACAAATCAAATAATTTAAGAATTGCTTATTTTTTTCTATACCTTCATTTTTGCAGAAAATTTATAGCATCTTTAAAAAGATCTCAAGAAAATTGACAGAGTTTGTCAGTACATTAAATAAATTGAGATAATAAGATTCCATTAAATACCAGCATTTGTGGATATTAAGAGTTATATTAAAATTGTGATTGGATAAAATGCTAGTAAATTTCTCCTGAAAATGTCATTAATGTTAAAATCAATAGTGCAGGAAGATTTTTAACTACAGTGTTGTTTTTTAAATACCTAGTAATTGCAAATTATTACAAATAATTTAAGAGCTTAAAAAGTAATGTGAATAATTTTTTTTTAACTTTCCCTTCTTAAATATAATGAAAAAGAGTAAAAATTTTTGAAAATATCTTTTATTTTGAATTCTGAAGGAAAACTAAAATTAGAATATTACACGTACTAATTTCTGAGTAAGAAAACGTAATATGAATGAAATGCTAGTTCTAAAGTGGAAAATAAATCTGAAAAAGATAAAATTAAGTGAAAGACATTGTATTATCTAACTATGACTCAACAAATCACTACTAGTATATGAATTTTACTATCTTGTAAATCGGAGCAGGAAGCTCAATTTCGACATTTTCATTATAACAAACTTTACCTGGAGGTAATATTAATAGAACTATTAGAGATATGCGCTATTTCTGACGAGAACGGTAGCCTCATCAGCTAAACATTTTTTCTCCATTCAAGTAATTTTGATAAGAACTTCAACTGTGGATATTTAATTTTGTAGGCAGATAAATTTCTGTCATCAATACGTCATATTTATTGCAACTAGAATTTTCGATGCCTAACAAACATTTTTCGTGTGGAATAGTGCCAAAAAGAGACTGCGAATTATGTTTTAAAGAAAGAAAGAAGGATAAATTATGATTAAAGAAATAAGGAAAAAGAAACACAACGTTAAGGTTCACGTTTCTTTGTTAGATTAGTAATATTGGATAGAAATAAATGGAGCATTTTTATGAAATGATAAAAATCAAATTTCTTTTGTTCTTTCAAGATGATCTATCCCATAATTTTCGAGATGATCTCTTACATAATATCATTTCATTTCCTTCAGTTTAGGGACTTTTGCCGTAGGGTCGACGTAATTCAGTTAAAAACAGTTACTCATTGACAAAAAAATTTACTTTCACAATAACTTCATAAATTCCAATTCTTAGTTAATCCAGTTTTAGTGAAGCAGCATATTGTTGTTTTGCCCTCCAACAAACAATGATATTTTCGCCTAAATCTGTTTCTACAGCACAAGATAACTTTTAGCAGTATTAGATATGACTGAAAGCAAAATGAAATACTATTCTTCTTAAATAGTACATAATTCCCTTTTACCTAATTTTACAGAAAAATTTATTTAGTTTCCTGGACTTGCTCTGTTCAGTAATGAATTAAATTCATTTGTATAAGAACTAAACTGAATTCATCGTTTTGTCTGGTCCAAGCAAAAAATCATCGGAAATTTCAACAATTTTAGAGTTTGGATCAAGACTTAGAGAAACAGAAGTCATTTCTGGCTTGCAAACAAGTCTAAAAAAGAAAACTGACAATGAAAGAAGTATCAGTTATGCTTCTAAAAATGTATCTATTGCTATCACCGATCGCCATTGCATTTCCATCGCTGAAAATCGGTCGAACTCAAAGTGCAGCCGTAAAAGGGGTTTTAACGTGTAATGGTAAAGCTGCGAGTAATGTGAAAGTGACGCTCTATGATGCTGATTCAGGTGAACAATAATTACTAATGAAACACTTTTTTTTGCTATTTTATTCTGTCGAATAGTCAAATGAGTGAACTGGTATCTATTTCCACATTTATGCATCAATTCAACTTTGTGCTAGATTTAATATTTGAAACTTGGGAAAAATCATTTTTACCATTCCTTAAAATAATTGGGGTAGATAGTGTTGTTGCAGTTGGTTTTCTTGATCCAAATTTGTATATTTTCTCCAACTATCCTACTCTACTCTCTCTTGAATGGAAATGCGATGAAGAAACTCAACTGAATGCATTTAATACTACTGATTCTTTATCAAAAGCAATACACATGATTCTATTTAAGACTGAATATAAGGTGGCACTTGTTAAGAATTAATATTCATTCTTAGGCCTTGATGTAGATGATTACATGGATAAAGGAATAACAGATGCAGAGGGCCGTTTTTTACTGAAAGGGCACGAAGTAGAAATCATGAATATTGATCCAAAACTGACTATCTATCATAACTGTAACAATGAACATAATGTGAGTTGAATTTTTTTTTACTATTCTGCTTTAAATTTCGAATTGCAAAAATTTTTTCAAAACAGTAATTAGTAAATTTTTATATGAACGAATTTCTCATACATCGAGCATGCATTTTACAATACATGAAGAATTTCGAGAACTCAAGATTTTTTGCAATACAAATAAAGCAAAGTTAAAAACCAGTTTTTCTCCATTTTATCATTTTACAGGCGTGCTTGAAGAAATTGATAGTATTTATACCAGATAGCTTTGTCAGCGATGGTTTGGTACCGAAAAAAACCTTTGATCTTGGTATTGTTAATTTGGCAAGAAACACTCGAGATGAACAGCAAGAATGCATTAATTAATTTACTGGTTAAATTCTTCGAAAAATAAAGTGAAAAAGCGAATGCGCTATTTGTTATCTGTTTTTTAAATAGCGTCTTTTTGCCTTTGCAAGATTTCGTGCAGTTATTTGTTGTTCATTCTTTAACAATACTTTTAATTACATTTGTAAGACACAATGTTTGAAAGTTATAGTCAAGATAACTTTCATATTCCAGCTAGTAAACAAAAAAATGATTAAGTTTGAAAAAACCAGAGCTTCATTGTATATTGCACAGTCCATCTATTTCTGATTAAACAAATAAAGGCGAAAACCAAGGAAAAAACTAAGAATGAAAACCAAGAATTTATACCTTAATTAGTATTGTATCTGTTATTTTGTATTCATTAATCATCATAGCTAAAGTTCTATTAAGGTAATGCATACAGGCATGCTACTTGAAGTTCCAAAACAGAAAAAAAAATTAAGAACGATAAACTGCTTTAAATTCAGCTCAAAATCAGCAATAAGTATTTTTGCCCAAGTTGGTCATCAACTACTGCGTAGTGAGTGATGACTAAAAATTTGGCACTTAGAATTACTGACCTTCATTAACTAGTAAAATTTTTTTTTTGATAGTTTTACTTCATTTTCTCGAACAGAATTGAGAGAAGCCAGGATATGAACTTTATGCCAAAAATAAGCATGAAAAACCTCCCCTGAATTTTAACTCTTTGGAGCAGACAGTAAGTAATGCACTTGTACAGAAATCTTTTTCAATGTTTATATTTTGTCGGTAAAAAAGTTGCGATTATTTTGTTCCTATATTTGTGACATTTATGCTGTCTTCGTAATATCAATAAAAATTAGGGATCATTCATAGTGCAGGCAGTTCTGTACAGCAAAATACTTAAATATTGCCGGGGATTTGTTCATTTATTGGTATATGTTTGGAGAGAAAAGCAACGGTTAGAGCTATAATCAAGTATCACGATGTACACATTATTTAACTGTTTGCTAGAAAGTAGTTATTTTCAGAATATTTAACGGAATGCAGCAACTGTTTGATAAGGAATGAGCTAGCTGGTTGTGTATTTGCTCTTTAGCAGAGTAAGGAAATTGAATGATCTGCCTGGTGAATTGATTGATGCTCGACAGTTTTTAGCTTAGGCAAAGCAGTCTCTTTCAAACTTCCTCTATCCATCCCTTACGTAACTCACTAAGGGGAAAGCTCGGCAACAAACACCCAAATAAGTTGTTTGTTTATTCATCCCTACCTGCATGCAGTAATACGGCGCAAAATCGATTGAAATCTTTAAAACTGAGAAAAAAGGCCTAGCAGTGACTATTTTACACTGCAATCTACAAGTTTTTACCTCTTGGTCACTGCTGCTATTTTTTTGCACTCTCATCTCTCTCTTCTCCTTCACTTTCATGAGGCAACAAAAGTTCACTTATTCTTGGCTTGTTTAGGACTTAACTTTAATGCATGTTTCGATTTTCCCTTACAGATGAAAGTAGAAAATAGCTTGCTAAGTTTTCAGACAAAGATGAAGCATTAATCAATATATATATATATATATGTATATGTATGCATGCTTCTCATATCAGAAAAATGCGGCTGTGATAATGTTGTGAGCTCAAGCATCATTAGTAAGATTTTCAGACTCGGCTAAGGCCTAGGCAGCGATCAAGTGGTTTTCTTGGCCAGACTTGGAGGACTCTGTCTTAGCCCATCGCTCTTCCACTTCTTTTTCTTCTAACGAAAACTTTTCCTAAGCATTATTATTCAACATAATCTGAATTTACATAATTCCATGCATCTGCCACTCATCCCATATCTTCCGACTTTCCACTTTTCATTACTTTTTATCCGCACCTCGTTCTAACCGAGTGAAGGCATACTTATCATTGAAAATCCAAACTTGACTATTGTTTTATTGATTTAAATCGTTTTCTTACCAATCTTCGTTTCATCTCTTTTTCTCATCACAGCCTAAACAGACACACTAGATAGCTTTACAATATATCAGTTAAACTGCTAATTAAGAAACTGTCTGCTTTACGTATTGAATTCATAGCAGTTTATCATCGGTTGGATTGTAGCCGGGATAAACAATGAATTTACGCATAAAAATTATTAGGAGATATCAGTATCTCGGATACCTCATCAAAAAACCGTCCTCAATATTAAATTAAGAGTCATCAGCACTTCTATTGTACTTATCAGTTTTCTTCCATGCTATCGCGTTAATTAACAGCTGTTGAGGTAATTATTATCATACTGTTTATATTTATGGTACCTATCAAAGATGAAAAATCATTCCACTTTCAAGTTGTGTCAATATCTGAAACCACTTCAAGCACTATCGAGCTTTAATATCGTTCTCACTAAATGTATTATGAAGAGCATAAAATATAAATTTTCCTTTTGCTTTTGAAGCTCAATTTTCTTCAAGTTCATTCACTGCTTCTACCTTCCTTGTATCATTCAGCTTAATTGAACTTGTTGTTTGCATTAAATCCTACAATAATTTTCATATTAAACTTATTGTGAGCCAATATCTGTATACACTTCTTTTGAAAGTTCTACCGTTTCTTAACATTGTAAGCACTTTTACGTTATAAGTTTGGAAACATGATAAACAGACCATAAAAAATATTCAACATCAATTTTAAGAAATATTTGCAGTAAGTGGAAAAAAATTACAGGAAATTAATATCTAAAAGTAATTAAGCTTTTTAATTTTAAAATGTATTCAGTATGGCTCGATTTTCTAATTTTACATAAAATGGAAGAATCCATGTAAAATAAAACGGATGGAAAATTAACAGAAGAATAGAATATTGTGAATGATTACTCATAAGTCCGAATAAATAATGTGATAAACAATGATAATAATTCCATTTATGTCAACAGTCAAAATAATGCTGATTACTACAATACCAGTAAAATGTAGTAAGATTTATTACTATGTAATGAAATTATATAAAATGTACATAACCACAAAAATTTCTTACTAGATGATTTTTTAATCACTGCTAATTTAAAAATTATGATAATGTAGTAAGTAATTCATTTTTTAAATAAAATTTCATTATTGTATTTAATTTTACAGTTCTAAGTTGGTTCACTCTATCAACCTAAATACAAATCCAAAAAAAAAGAATTAAGAAAATAATGGTGAAAATTGATTTAAATGATGAACCGGGATTTGATCCAGAACTAAACATGGAACATGAACTGCCAGAAGAACCCATGTTAGTAACATCGACTGCTGCGACTATTATTCCTTCCGTTACACATATCGAAGTTACTGGAGAAACAGTCACGTATGATTAGTTCACAATTAATTTTCGGTCAATTTTCGTTAAATTCATTACCAGTAAACAAAAACAAAAAACTTATTATCTTTTTTACTTTTTTGCTAAAATTTTTTTGAAAGACATAATATACAAGCTTGGTGGACTACCAAGCATATCTAATATCACCGTTTACTGGAAAACAGATTTGAACATAAAGAGCATTTTATGGTGTTTTTTTCTATTCAAATAGATTTTCGATAATTGGTAATGACTAGTGAAAATAACAATAACCGAAATTGATTTTCGAAATAAATGATCTGGATTAATTTATAACGGTAACCTAAGTTAAAAATCAAACAAGGATACACTTGATTATTTTTGAAGTCATCTTTTATTGGTTTCTGTTGAAAATGATCGTTAAGCCGAAATCACAGCTTTTCTCACTCTAACATATACATTTGAACTTCATGATCTTTTCATAGAATCTTCAAAAAATTTCATGATTTTGCAGGAACGTGTAAAGAAATTTTCAGGCAGTTAACGACCACAAAAGAGTCTATGAAAGATGTGGTCGTGAACTTTGTTGGTGATAAAGCGAAAACTCTAACAGATATTGCACGAAAAAAAGTGATGGAAAAGACTGGTTGTTAGTTTTAATTTGAATAAAATTAACGTATTTTTATTATATTCCGTGAAATTTTCTGAATCGAACTTAAAGTGACAGTAGTTAATGACTGAATATGATTGGTCTTACTGAATTGTGATACAATAATAAGACAACACATAGCCAAGTAATGTGTAAAAAGTAATTAAACTTATTTCAGTACCTGAATGGAGTTTTGTATTTTTGGGCTTAATTTGTCTTACGTTCATTCTCCTTTGCGCACTTTTGATGATACGAAAATTGTTCAGCAAAAAACGCCACGGCGAAAAGAAACAAAAGGGTTTACGAGGACTCTTCAATTCAAAGGGTCCAGATTTAGTTACGATTGGTAAAAATAAGGTTCGTCTGAAAAAAATCTAAACTTATAAAAAAACCTATATGGGTTAGATTACTCAAGTATGAGATGATCGTGGACAGCAGACTTTGTCTGATCTTGAAAGGAAACACATAACAGGAAAAAAGTGTTGAGAAGAGGGATATGTGTGGGATGAACATAAAAAAGAGAAGACTGAAAAAACTGGAATCTGGAATCATAATAAAAAATCAAAAGAAAAATAGACGAGGCTGTAAAAGCTGCGTAAAAGATGTAAGAGATCACTCTGCAATATACCTGAATCATGTACCAGAAAGATGATTACGCTTCGAGCAATTATCTGTGAGATTGAGGTTCGGCAAAGCAGTTTATCAGACTTGCTGAAAGCGGTTCTTGAACTTTTCGGTAGTATGCCGAGAGGAGATGGCCATCGTATCCATCCGTGTATTGCGAAGCGAATACCCTCCAAATACTGAAGAAGCAGATGAATTCTGACATCACTGGTATTGCAGGCCATCCGTACTCGCAGAAACGGTTCTTAGAAGAATCGACGAAGCGTGGAAAGAGAAGACATTGGAGTGGAAGGCAAGCATTAAAAGGAAAATGAGCTTGATTAACTTCTATGAAACCCTCATATCGAACTTCGTCTCGTGCGGTATTTGGTAGATGAAAGGCTTGAAGGTAAAAACTCAAAATAGACCAAGAAGTGTATGAGGAGCATGAATCTCATGCTTGCTCTTAAACATGACTCTCATGAGGCTCTAAGCATGCTGACAACATGTGAAAGTTTATGAAAGTAAAATTAAAAGTTATGAGTCGCGATGTGCTCTCAAAATTGAAAATGCCAGATTCAAGCTGTTCAGAAGACGGTTCTATACAAATCTGACCGAAGAACAGTCTGTTACCCACAATGTAAGAACAGAAGAAATCAGGGATTTTTGGGGTACGATGTGGAACTCTGGGATGGGAAAGGATGGCAATATATGACATTATGAATATCTGGAAGAACGAATGTTCAGAATATGAAATGGAAGATACTTATCCATCTATCAAGAAAGCGGCAGTTTTAAAGCAAGAGAAGGTTACTTATACGTATTTAGTAATTATTATACTCCACCTTCAGACTAAATATAACATTGTAGACGATCCAATCGCTAAAATTTTAGCAGCAGCCCGAAAACCGCTCCTGAAGAACAAAATTGATACGAAAGTTTGTCATGCAAAACTATACAAGATGGGCAGTAATGAACTAGCCTCAATAGCTGATTTATGAATGTGACTGCTTCTTTACTGGTGTATATTTTTAAATTCAAGAAAAAATATATCGGAAATTAAAAGTCTAAACTCATAAATACAGAAACAAAACGGTCGAAAAAGACTGAGCTTGAAAGGATATAATTCAACCACCGCCGTGGATTTGCGGGGCAAGTGCAGCGAAAGTGGCAGAATACGGTCCAACGCGAAAATGAATATATATATATATA